CTTGAGACCTTGGGCATTTGAAATATTTTTTGAGGACCTTGAGAGTATTAACTTTAAACCTTGGAGACTTGAAAGAGAAGATCTTGAGACCTTGGGACTTTGGAAGGTTGGGTCCTTAGGTTGTCTAATCCAATACCTTTTGCCATTTCTTTCAATTCTTTTACCTTGGGCATTTTCAAATATTTCTGGAAGACCTTCGGAGTATTAACTTTAGACTTTGGAGACTTGAAAGAGAAGTCCTTGGGACCTTGGGACCTCGGAAGGTTGGGACCTTAGGTGCATAAGTCCAATTTTCCATGTATCATTTTTTTTTTTTTTTTTTTTTTTTTGTTGTACATGGCTTGCTAGCTCTTCTATGGCCAGAGCCTCCGAGTTATTTCTTTTACCTTTGAGTGAGGCCATATAACATTGTCTGGCTACCTTTTGGTTTCCACGAACTTTCCCGATCCCATTCTCGGTCGGGAACTTCATAAGCATGTGATATGTAGAGACTACGGCCTTCATCTTGTTCAACCCTGGTCGTCCAAGGATGAAATTGTAACTGGAGGAGACTTTCACAACTAAAAAATCCATCATGATTGTGATTTGCTGATGTGAGTCCCCTGCAGTTAACGAGAGAGTTATAATTCCCTCCGACTCCACAGTTTCATCTGTGAACCCCATGAGTGGAGTTTTGACTGGCCTTAGTCGTTTACGACCAATTTTCATCTTCTGAAATGCATCATAATATATGATATCAGTCGATCTACAACTATCCACCAACACCCCATTGACCCCGTAATTCCCAATCGTAAGTGTAACGACCATGGGATCATCATGAGGAGTTAGAATGTTACTCGTTTCTTCCTCTGTAAAGGTTATTTATGTCTCTCTACGAGCCCTTTTCTCTTGCGGCTCACTTGTTCGAGGTTGCCTTGCATATGCTTTGCGAGAAGAATTGCTTTCTCCACCGGATGGTCCTCCGGTGATGACAACGATGACCCAACAACTTGAGTGTTGTCCCTCCTCGGACTTCGGGCTCTAGGATTATCCCTCTTAGGACTACGACTTCGATTTTTTGAGCGCCTTCGCAGAGGTTGAGGGTTGCTTCTGTCTTTTCCCACAAATATGTAAATAATGTCATATTTAGTATATTCATACCACATATCCTTGACTATGACAAAGCCTTACTTGTCAAGAATAATAGTAATATGTATATCAGTAAAATATACTAATTTTATGTAATATATATACATACATATATAAGTAGTATATTCATACCTTTCTTGATCGGATAGAGCGTTCGTGCTGATAAATTGTTACAAAAAAGGGAAAAAAATAAAGAACAAAAAATAGAAACCGAATATGAATTATACTGAATATTTTTCTCAATCCTTTCTTCCTTTTCGACGGTGCAAGTTTGGCTACAAATTAGTTGCCTTTTATAGGCAAATTTTCATCACAATTATTCACTATCTCAACTACCTCATTTATTAGCTCGTTTATTTCTAATAACTCATCTCCAACCAATAGTAATAAATACATTATTTACAATACAACTACATATATCAAGAGTAGAAAACGAAATATTCAGAAAGCACACATCAAACTTGGAAATTGGTAGTATCAAAGAAGAAGCAAGAAAAAAAATAAAAAGGTATTTACGCTGCACATCTCTCCGTCAAATACACAGGCTTGTCAAAT